GTTCCCTACTATGATTTTTGTCAATTTCTCCATTTAGGTCTGATAGTAATTGTTTTATATATTTTGGTGCTCCCAGGTTTTGTGTGTGTGTGTGTGTGTGTGTGTGTGTGTATTCTATATAATAAAGTGTAATATGTAAATTAACCCTAAGAGCAGTATGACTGGGAATGACTGGTCACTATGACACACACTGACCACCAGGGGGCAGATGCTGAATGCAGAAGCTGCCCCCTGGTGGTCAGTGCGCTCCCACAGGGGGAGCTACAAGCCAGGCTGATGGCTGCCAGCACAGCGGTGGTGGTGGGAGCCTCTCCCGCCTCTTCCGCCTCTTCAGCAGCGCTAAGGCTGTCCGACTGCAGCTGAGGCCTGCTCCCTACTGGCAAGTGGACATCCCCCGACTGCGAGAGGGCACAGGCTGGGCTGAGGGACCACCCCGAGTGCACAAATTTTTGTGCACCGGGCCTCTAGTGTGTGTGTGTGTGTGTGTGTGTGTGTGTGTGTGTGTGTATCCTATCTAATGAAAGAGAAACATGGTAATTAGCTGTAACTTCGCTACCCTTCCCATTGGCTAATCAGGGCAATATACAAATTAACTGCCAGCCAAGATGGCAGCCGGCAGCCAGGCACTGACGCAAACAGGGAGGCTTGCTTGCTCCAGTGACAGAGGAAGCCAACGTTCCCCGCCTGCTGCTGCTGGGCTCTGAGCTGCTCTCTAAGAAACACTGTTACAAATATAGAAGCTAAAGAAAACCCCAGAAACCTGCTTTCAGTCAGCCAGGATCTCAGAGCTGGAGTCCCAACAACGTTTCAAATACAGAAGGTAAACAAAGCGCAGAAACCTGCTTTCAGCAGCTGAGGTCTGAGCTAAAGCCGGCTCTCAGCTCCAGTGACAGCCATAGAAGGTAAATAAATCCCAGAATTAAAAAAAAAAAGAAAAAAAGGAGAGGTTGGGAGGAGCTTCAGTCACCCGCCAGCCTGAAAACGGCCCTCAGCCCCTCACCAAGACTGGCCAGGCACCCCAGTGGGGACCCCCACCTGTGCACCAGGCCTCTATCCTATATAGTAAAAGGGTAATATGCCTCCCAGCACCGGGATCAGCGGAGCAGCGAGGACTTCTGGACCAGGGATCAGCGGAGCCTCAAGGCCTCCCAGCACCGGGATCAGTGGAGCAGCGAGGCCTCCCAGCACCGGGATCAGCGGAGCAGTGAGGCCTCACTGCACCTGTGTCAAGCGAAGCCGCGAGGCCTCCCAGCACCGGGATCAGCGTAGCAGCGAGGCCTCCCAGCACCAGGATCAGCGTAGCAGCCAGGCCTCACTGCCCCTGGGTCAAGTGGAGCCGTGAGGCCTCCCAGCACCGGGATCAGCAGAGCCTCGAGGCCTCCCGGCCTGGGATCAGCGGAGCCACAAGGCCTCCCGAATCCAGGATCAGTGGAGCCGCAAGGTCTCCCAGCACCGGGATCAGCAGAGCAGCGAGGCCTCCTAGCAGTGGGATCAGCGGAGCCTCGAGGCCTTCTGGCCCCTGGAGCAGTGTGACAGGGGGCAGCGCCCAAACCCCCTGATCACCCTGCGGCTCTGTGTGTGACAGGGGTGGAGCCACAACCTACCTATCCACCGTGCTCTGTTCTTGAAAGGGGAAGGCATCCCAACCCCCTGATCGGCCCTGCTCTGTGCCTGATAGGGGGGAGCTTCCCAACCCCCTGATCGGCCCTGCTCTGTGTGTGACAGGATGCGGCGCCCCAAGCCCCCCATGGGCCCTGCTCTGTGTGTGACGGATGGAGCCGCAACCTCCCCATCAGCCCTGCCCTGAGTGTGACAGGGGGGAGTGCCCTAAACCCCCAATCGGCCCTACCCTGAGCGTGACTGAGGGTGGCATCGCAACCTCCTGATCCGCCCTGCTCTGTGCGTGACAGGGTACGGAGCCCCAACCCCCCTGATGGGCCCTGCTCTATGTGTGACAGGGGGCAGCGCCACAACCCCCTGATCCGCCCTGCTCTGTGCGTGACAGGGGGTGGCGCCGCAACCTCCCCATCGACCCTGCCTTGAAAAGCCACGATTGATCTTTGAATTCACTAATTCTCTTTTCCACCTGGTTTGCTGTTTCAAATGTTCTTCAATATGTTCCTCATCTTATTTATTGAGTTTTCAGCTCCAGAATTTTTGTTTGGTTCCTTTTATACTTAACAATTTCTTTGGTAAAGTACTGCATTTGTTCATTAGTTTTCTTCCTGAGTTCAATGAACTTTTCTCTAAGTTCTGTTTTTATCTCATCGAGCATCTTCATAACTGCAATCTTAAACTCTGTCATTTTAGTCACAGTTTTCTAGGAGTTTGAGTTTGGTTTCTGGAGACTTTTCTTTCTGTGCTTCCGTGTTACCTTGCTTGTTCATGTTATTTGATGGATTGTTTATCTACGTGGACAATTGAGGTAGTGGCCCATTTTCTTCATTAGATATTCTTTTACTGTCAGCAATTCAGCAGGTTAATATATTTTCCAGTAGATAGTGTTAGCACATGTTTTGTTTTCTCTTACCTGCACTATTTGAGCCTCACTTTTACAGTAAATGCTGTGTATCCAGTGGGAAAGTAGGTGTTCCTTGTGTCACCAGTTCACCTTAGTTATAGGGCACTGCCACCCTGATGGGAGTATGTGGTAGGTGGTGGAAAATGGTTTTATGAGCTCTCACTAATGGTCCTGGCCAGGCTGCCTCTATTGAGCTCTGCCAAGATGAGTAGGGTGGAGGTGGGGGTGGGGGGTACGGGGTGAGTTCATTATTTTACAGCCTCATTGAACTATTTAAGGCATCTCAGTTTTCTCTGTCTGGCTCTGCTAGGGTGGTAAGGTCGAACTCCTGCAGGTCCACCCTCCTGCCAGCAGTGGCCATGGGCACAATGCCCTGTCCAGGTCTTCTCAGCTTTCTTTACTGGGCTCTGTCAGGATGGGTGAGGCTATGGAAGCATGTGTGGCTCCACCCCTCTTTCAGTAATGGCTATCATAGTTGCTCTTGTTTGAAGCTTCCCAGCCATCTCTGCAAGGGGTCTGCTGTAACGGGGAGAGAGAAAAGGTGATGCCTTTTCTTGGGAGACCACTGCTTCTGTCCCTCTTACACTCCAGGCTCTAGTGTGAGTCCTACATCCAGTCCTCCACTATTGCCCTCACTGGAGCCTCAGTGGGTGCTGGGCTGCATCTGCAGCAACCTCCCCTTCCTTCTCTGTCCACCCCTCCTGCTCATTCATATCTTCCCACCTTCAGATGTTCTGACAGGTGGCTCTTTCAGGTCAGGTATCTTTGTGTGTTGAGCAGGGGGGTCCTTTGTTGAGTTATAATTGTCTAACTTGTAATTTTAAGAAGAGAATAAAGGAGTCTTCTCACTCCACCATGATGCTGAGTTATTGTGGTTTTTATCTAAAAGCAAGCTTTTATTATTCTTATCTCCCTTTTGAAAATTAAAAAATGCTTTTTTTATCATAAAGTAGTACATATTTTCTATAAAAATCCTATATAATAAAAGGGTAATATGCAAAAAGACCGAATGGCAGAACCGAACAACCAATCAAAGTGTAATATGCTAATGATATGCTAAGGTGCTCAACTGCTTCTATGATGTGCACTGACCACCAGGGGGCAGACAGTCAACTGGTTGACCAGTCGCTATGATGTGCACTGATCACCAGGAGGCAGATGCTCTGACAGGTAGGTTAGCTTGCTGCTGGGGTCCGGCCGATTGGGACTGAGCAAGATGGGCCGGATATGCCCCGGAGCCCTCCCGAGGCCCCTCCCTGGGCGATTGTGCACCGGTGGGGACCCTCAACCTGGCCTGCACCCTCTCGCAATCCGGGACCTCTCGGGGGATGTCGGAGAGCCGGTTGTTTGTCTTGTTGGTGTTGACTTGTATAAGTTCTTTATATATAAACAAATTGGAGTTTTTAAGTCATTCTTCTCTTTTAGAAAGGAGGACATTTGCTCTGATTTCTCAGAACGGTCTCCTTTTGTGAAGTACTGTATATTTTTATATACCTAGTGATTATTTTTCCAACTTATTCATATTTAGAAGGGATGGTTTATACTTACTGTGTTGGAATTTGAGAAGGATTCTGTTGGAAATTGTGTAAGCCCCTTGCCAATTATTTTGTCATAGTATATTTGTTAAATAAGCAGTCCCCATGACTTGGGGTCCTAGGAACAGACTGCTGGTGTGATGGCTCCTGGCTGGGCGGGCAGGCTCCTCCTTTGTTGAGGGTTTCATTCTCTCCTCGAGGAGCCATGGGAGACCCAGAACTCCAGGTGTCGCTGTAACTCGCCTCCTGGGCTGGTGGAGTTTGTTAGTGAGTCAAGTCACTGCTTTTCCCTCTCATATTTGTAATACTTCATGTCAGACGAGTCCCATGTTGCTTGGAGCAAATCTCCTTCATAGCATCCGTTTCCCATAATTCCTCTGCTTTGATTAGAAATTGCCTCTTCACCAATGAAACCGAGGATCGACATTCAGATGGCTGGCTGCATGTTTGTGGCATTGATAGAAATCTGTTATGCTAGTGTTTGTATTTGATCAACTACCTCAGTTCTCAGTTGTTATTGCCGAATTTTCCCCTGGCTCTGCTGTTTTGGGCTTGCAGGTTCCCCAGATTTCTGGGAATGCTCTCCACTTGCTCCCTCCGAGGGCTCCTCCTTGGCTGTGTTCAGTTGCAGACTAGTAGGTCCCTCTTTTGACCTAATCCTACCTGTGCCCGCGAAACGGAAATCCCTCAGTATCTGGATACTGGTGGCATCCTTCTCTGTTTAGTAGAAAATGATTTAAAATAAAAACTTCCCTAATTGTATATTTCTTAGGTCATGCCAGTAAGTTTTGGGGAGGGAAGAATTTAAATATATGGACTCAAATGTATGCTATCTTCTCTATTGGTCAAAGAGATCAATGGATTTATCTGCATTAAATGCTTTCAGGAAGTATATTGTGTCTTCTGCTTTTCCTTATCTACCAGATGTTTCTGTTTTGTAATAGATGATTCAACACGTGTTCCTCTTGGAGAAAACAAGGACTACATTAATGCTAGTCATATTAGGATAACCAATTCTGGAGAAGAGTATTTCTATATTGCTACCCAAGGGCCACTGCCAAGTACCACAGATGACTTTTGGCAAATGATTTTGGAAAATAACTCTAATGTTATTGTCATGATAACCAGAGAGATAGAAGCTGGAGTTCCCAAATGCCATCGTTACTGGCCCATTTCTACGAAGAAGCCTTTGGAACTGAAACACTGTCGTATCTTCCTGGAGAACTACCAGATACTTCCATATTTCACCATTCGAATATTTCAAGTTGTGAGGAAGTCTGTAAGTTTTTAAAAATCAGTATCAGATACATATTTCATTATATAAGCATGCATGTCAGGATGAGAAGTTAGGCATAGGATAGCGTATAGACCGGGATACTTTTTAAATAACTTAGTTTTACTTCTCTCTGGCATTAGAAACTAAGACCTCACCACTTCCACTTGTGCTTAATCAAACTCTGGCTGGTGAGAGGAAGGAATGGAAGGGGGGAATGGAGTGAGAGAGTGAGTATTGGAAGTTGCCTAATCCTGGGATGTACTTGGGCTGCTTCTGCCAAGTGTGACAGATGTGTATTGAGTCTTTAAGGTATGTTAGTCATGTGAAGGTATGTTAGGAATGTGCCAGGCACCCTTACAGAGTGGTGGAGAGTTTGGTGTGCTCAGTGGTAATGTTGCGATCCATGTGGAGGGTTTGGGAGCTTTGGAGGGAAGTACTTAGCATTACTTGTGGTTTTGGGAAGGTTTGTTGGAGGCAGTGGCATCTGAATTGAGAATTACCCAAATGAGAAAGATGGAAAGAGGGAGTAGATTATCAAGATATAAAATGGAACGGGGTATATATAAAGAAATATAAGTAGTTAAATGTTTCTGGAACATAAAATTGCAGTGCCAGGAAGTAATGAGAGATGAGACGAGGTTATAGAAAGTAAGCAGGGGCAAACCAGAACATGAAATTTCTTAGATTTTAGTGAAGGAGCCAAACTTTATTATGAAGATAACTGAGAGACATTGAAGAATTTTAGTAAGAAAGTGCCATTGTCATCTAGGGAAGTTGGCATTGAGATGGAAAGCAGAGACTTTGGTGTTTTTTAGGTAAAATTGGCAGACTTATATGTGACTTATGACTTTTGACTTATAAGTGACAGAAGGAGTGGTCAAAAGTATGCTATGTAATATGGTAGCCACATGTGGCTATTTAAGTTATTTAAACTTACATAAAATAACATTTATTTTTCACCTGCAGCAGTCCCATGTTACCAGAGGCTACCATATTGGGCAGCACAGATATAGAACATCTGCATCATTGTAGAAAGTTTTGTTGGGAAGTGTTGTCTGGAGTAATTCACAGATTTCTTGCTCTGATAGACTCGGAAAATAGAAAAGCAATGATTTATAGGAGGAAGTGATGAGTTAACTTCTCTAAGTGGATTTGATCAGCAAGTACGTGATACGTGTGTTCCACAGGAATGAATGGGATAGGAGTTAAACAGGAAGCTTGAAAAAAAGGGATGATATTTGGAGTCATCACCAAAGAAGTTGATTTGATTAGAGCACAATGACTAGGAAAAGGGTTTCTGGAGGTGCTGAGGTTGGAACCTATACATTTTTAATTGCAATAAAATAGGCAACTATGTGATTATTTCCTCCCCGACAGCCAGACTATGGGATTTCTGTTCACTGGTTATGGAACTGGCCCAGGGTAATCTGTGGCAAGATTCAAATGATAAAGGGAGTTGACAGTTTGTAAGAGAATAATTCTGATAATTAGTCATGAAGTCTTAATTTAGGGAGATGAATGGAATCGGGCCAGTCAATTAGGAGTATGTGGAGGACACGAGGGACAGGAAAGCGCATTTGGTTGCATTGAAGTGACGCACAAATGAGGTGCTAGCATATAGGCTTCTGGTCAGACAGTGGCGGTAGATTTTAAGAACTGGAAGCTTTTTGATCCCTGACATTGCAGGGGGTGCTCCTCACTGTGAGGACTAGGAGGAAGGAGTCTCTCCTCTGCAAGAGAGAAATAAAGGTGCTGTGATTCAGAATGTCGGTGGCACTATGGGGGCCCTGGCTGTGCCCTGGATGGTGTCAGAACCTGTGGTAGGGAGAAGGTCAGGATGTTCTGTGAATGTAGTAGATCAAGCAGGAGGTCTATCTAGTGGGTTATAACAATGAAAAGATGAAGCTAGGAGGTATGAAACTCAAAAGGAAGAGAGTTTTGTTTTTTTCAAGGAGAAGGAATAGTGAATTGGAAACGGGAGTGGGCAGCAAGCAGTATGTAACCTAGTCTCTGTGCTCTGTGATACTTAGGGCCTCGATCAGAGCGCCAGAGACAGTGAAGTGCCTGTGGGAGGCAAGGCAAGGCAAGACAAGTCAAGGCAAGGCAAGGCAGGGCAGGTCAGGGCAGGGCAGGGCAGGGCAGAGCAGGGCAAGGCAGGGCAGGGCAGGGCAAGGCAGGGCAAGGCAGGGCAAGGCAGGGCAGGGCAGGGCAAGGGAAGAAACATTTAGGGAGGTGACTAGGGTTTCTAAGACATTATTGTGGGATGGTGGCCCTGAGTGCAAAGGGAGAAGTTGAGAGAGAGGGGAGGAGGGAGGGATGGGAGAGGCAGATTTGCGAATGAGGAGGGTATGAGCCCAGAGTGAGGAGCAGGATGTCAGGAATAACAACGGCTGACATGGATGCAGAGCTTGCTGACTGTGTGCTGGGCACCATGCTTGTTCTGTATACCTGGGGACTCGCCTGATCCCTCATTCCCTTGATACCTGTTGATTCCTTCCTATTAACCAAGTAGCATGTCAGGGGCTGGGGATATAAAGAGACACAGTCTCAAGTCTTAGAGTACTTGCAGGCTAGCATGGAAGGAAGACACCAGCCCTAACCGGTTTGGCTCAGTGGATAGAGCGTTGGCCTACGGACTGAAGGGTCCCGGGTTCGATTCCAGTCAAGGGCATGTACCGTGGTTGCGGGCACAACCCCAGTGGGTGATGTGCAGGAGGCAGCTGATTGATGTTTCTCACTCATTGATGTTTCCAATTCTCTATTCCTCTCCCTTCCTCTCTGTAGAAAATCAATAAAATATATTAAAAAAAAAAAGACACCAGCCACATCAGTTCCAAATGGGGTGTGATGCCTGCCGCGGCAGGAGAGGGCAGCATGCTTGGAGAATGTAGGCCAGGCGGGAGGCACAGATGCATGGTCTGTCTGCATGGACTCAAGTTCTGGGATCCACTTACAGAGTTTTGGCAAGGGAGGCCAGGACGGTGGCCTTTGGGCTGAGGCCCACAAGCCTCAGACCCATGTGGTTCTGTTTGGAGAACCTGCATCAGCAGCCTGTCTTCATGGCACTGGGTCAGTCAGGAAAGCAACTCTCCATGGTCAACAGCAGCAGGAGAGATTTAGTCCTTGAAATATGTGACAGGGTGAGAGTTACCCTAAAACTCATGCCTTCACAGGATTTTCAAGGATTGTTTTCATCACTGACTTTTAGGTGCTGATGATTCAAACTTGAGCTTTCTATTTGGAACTTAGGAAAACTGATGCACTAGGGCAGCAGGAGAGGAGTGAGAACCCACCCTGAGTGTGCCCCGTGGGTCCCCAGTGAAATTAAATGAGGGCGGACCCTGGAAGAGGGTGATCCCTTTGGAAGGGATGATTGGAAAACTCAAAGTGCTTAATCTGTCAGTCTTGAGGAGTTTCATGACTCCACATCCAGGGGCTCAGCACAGGTCATCAACCACCCTGTCCTCATTGGCAGAGGACATTGGTGCTCCCGGTCAAGCAACTTGATAGCACATATCTGTTTTAGTTAAATTTAATGATATTTAAGCTAAGAAAGAGTGCTATTCTATATTATTCATAACATGTTGGGCCATCTTTGAATTCCTGTTTTTTTCTGCAGCCTCATGGTGCAGAAGAAAGATAGTAGACTTGGATTCAGGAGGCCGACTTGGTAGTCTCAGCTCTGGACCTGTGAGCCTTCTGACCTAGCATGCATCTCTCAGTCACGCTAATCCTGACTTCTTTATCTCTAAAATGAGGATAAATAGTGCCACCTCCAAACACTGATGTGAGAATTAAAAGCGATAATGCACAGTACCTGGAACAGAACAAGTGCCTAATTCATGTTTCCTGTTGGTATTCATATGTTTATTATTGTAGTACCTATAGCCATCATTATTATTATTATCATTATTATTTCTGGTATATTAGAAATTAAAATGATATCTTTAATATAAGAGGTTGATATATCTGTCTTCTCTATCTCTCCCCTTCTTCTCTCTCCCTCTCTCCTACACCCTTTCCCTCTCTTTCACTTTCTCAACAGACAAGAACTAGGCACTTTATAAAACAGTTGCAGTTCACCAACTGGCCAGACCACGGCACTCCTGCACCACCAGAGTGTTTCATACAGTATGTCCGCTATGTGAGGAGCAGCCACCTGACAGGACCCATCGTGGTTCACTGCAGCGCAGGAGTGGGCCGGACCGGGGTGTTCATCTGTATGGACGTGGTGTTCTGCGCCATTGAAAAGAACTTTGCAGTAAGTGTGGGAATTAAGCAGATAAACCCATGTCAGTAAAACTCTACTTTCAACAGTCTTCCAACAGCTGAAGATTGACTAATGTTTAGTTAGTTATTAAGAGCAACTTAGTTATTACTAGGAGCAACTTAGTAAAGAGACATGAGCTTTGGGAACCTTCTCCTTAACTGCGGCAGGTTCCTTCAGGTGGTTGTGAGGATTGAAATACATAATGAAACGAATAGCTTCGAACATAGTACCTACACACTGAGTGTGAGTTCATCTTCCTTCCTCTGCCTGCCACCCCCAGGGCCCTCTTCCCGGCCTTGTTGGAGAAGATTGGTGACATGTGCCTGTTTTGAATGGACAGAACGACATGCATGTAGCACATTGAAAACAATGCAGACTTCAGAGCGATTGAGAGGCTAGGGGTGTGACTGCCAGTTTTGCCACATACTGTAGACTTTTGGCGACTTGGTGCAAATTGTTCATCCTCTCTGCAACCCAGTTTGCTCATATATAAAATATGGATAATAATATTGTTGGGTTTGAGTTATTCATTAGCAATTCTTTACTTTCCTCTTAATTTAGACATGTGGTGATTATACTATTGCCTTTATTATTGGTTACACTGATGGGGGAATGTGACTTTAGATCTGTGGCCAAACAGGCTACTTTCTGAGCGTTCTGCGCTGCAGCAGTGAGGGTGGGCGTGCGTGCACTGAGCAGGCGGGGCTCTGACCACAGTCAAGCCCAGGAGTGTGACCCTGCTGCTTAGTCCAGGCAGACGGGCTGTGGGCGTGCCTGGCAGACAGCGCTGCAGTCAGGCTGTTGTCAGAACAGGTCTCAGACTCTTCTCCTCAGACTCTGGGTAGTTGTACTCGACAGTGACAGCAGATGCCGCTTGGGCCCTGGACCTCAGGGTGCATGATGTGGGAGGATAGGAAAATGGCCTCTCCCGGTCACTCCTGAAGGAGGAGGAAGCAATTTTCCATCTTTTCAGAATCTTGAGCCCAGTATCTCCTAGCATTTCACTGTTTCCGATTGAGTTCCTGTTGAGGCTGCCCCTTCCCTGAACTAGTCCCTGTGGGAGATGCTGGTTAGTGTAGGCCAGTCAGGGCTGCTCCAGGCCTTACGGTTGAGAAGAGGAGAGGAATGATTTTCCAGAGTAAACTTAGGGCTTTATCACATAGAAAGAATATAAACTGGCTGGACCCAAAAAAGACAAATGTTCTAAAAAATGCTAAGTGAGTCTGATGTTACCTTTTGTCCTGTGAGCAGAAAATGCATTAGTATAATTTTTCTTTTATATATTTTCATCATAATTTCTTAAGTAGTTCATTTATATTTATCTTTATTTTATATCCCTTGTAGAAAATGTAAAACTGTAAATATTCTATTTCATAACCCTAAGGAGCACTGTCTTTTCCCCACATTGTACCTTCTTTAAATCCTAAATGTGTTTTATAATGTCATCTGTCTGTTTAATTGACAGTGTGCATAAAATGATGCATTTTACAATCAAGAATGCCTTAGATTTGATGAAATATAGTGGTTCAAAAATGGGAAATACACTATTTTTTCCTTATTGGTTTTCCATAAAGCCTTGAGCTGTCACATATTCGTACTGATGCCCCTCTCTACTCTTCAGAAATGCTTTCCACCAGAGCTCCGGGAGGTGTGGCCTTGGACCAGCATCAGTCTGTGGATGTTTGATATCTGCAGAAATTTCTTTATAGGAATTGAGAGGAAGCTTTTAGAAGCACTCAGGGCAGTTTGGTGCATTGCTATATGGTCTAGAACCGTGGTCGGCAAACTGCGGCTTGTGAGCCACATGCGGCTCTTTGGCCCCTTGAGTGTGGCTCTTCCTAAGCCTTAGGAGTACCCTAATTAAGTTAATAACAATGTACCTACCTATATAGTTTAAGTTTAAAAAATTTGGCTCTCAAAAGAAATTTCAATCGTTGTACTGTTGATATTTGGCTCTGTCGACTAATGAGTTTGCCGACCACTGGGAAGCATGAGCAGCGTGCTGGACGCGTGAGCAGGTGCAGACCATGTGTGTGCTGGGAATTCGCATGGGGAGGTTTACATGTTGCAAGCTGCATACAGCCACATGTGGCTGGACAAGTGTGACCTCTGACATTTAGGATTAACTTACTATAATGTTAAAGGATATGAACATCTGAAAATATGTAACCATCTATTTCTTTTCATTAATTGTTATTTGTAGAACAATTTTCATAGTTAATCAAGCCTGCTTACAATCCCTGAAACTCTGGAGACACTTAGGTTGCTCTGAGTTCAGACATTCTGCACACAGCTTTCCCTCGCACACCTGCAGCAGTAGCAGCCGCTCACGGGCAGTCACCAGCTATCACATAGAAAAGTGAGTAGTCCAAATTTTTACTGCACCACTAAGCACACAGTTTAGATCATTCAGCAGGTGTTTTTTTTTAATTTTATTTTTTTAATCAAAACTGTCTTGATGAAGCAGTGTGTTGATTTGCCTTCTGGCATAAATTCCTTAATCTGTGTCACTACCTTCGACTGTTTTATGGTCATTGCAGCTCTACTACCAGAACATAATCCTTCACAAAACTTACACTCTGAGCAACAGTTGTTGACGATGTTGTACGTTACATTTTTATACAGTGTAGAGCTGTATAATTGTGTTTGTCAGCAATCAAACTGAGAAAAGAGACTTCTTCTTTCGTGTCTCATCATGTTCAAATCACACATATACTGAAAGAATCACTGTGTAAGCAATATCTATGTGTTTATTAAGTTACAGTGGTAAATTGCTACTTCTGTTTCATGAATTAGTACCACTTCCATCATTAACCAGTTTCTGATCTTGTTAAGCTGTGGTGTCATTAGAAACTGGTACTTTAACTTTTCTGCCGCATACAGTGGTAGGCAAAAGTAGGTTAATCCTATCTAATAATAGACAAACATGGTAATTAACTGTACCTCTGACACGCTTCCCATTGGCTAATCAGGGCAATATGCAAATTAACTGCCAACCAAGATGGCGGCCGGCAGCCAGGCAGCTAAAGCGAACAGGAGGCCTGCTTGCTCCAGTGATGGAGGAAGCCAAGGTTCCCCGCCTGCTGCTGCTGGCCTCTGAGCTGCAGTCTAAGCAACTATGTTGCAATTATAGAAGCTAAACAATCCCCAGAAACCTGCTTTCAGCCAGCTGGGCCTCAGAGCTGGAGTTGCAACAGTGTTTCAATTATAGAAGCTAAACAAAGCCCAGATACCTGCTTTCAGCAGCCAAGGTCTCAGAGCTGGAGCCAAGCTTCAGAGCTAAAGCCAGCTCTCAGCTCCAGTGACAGCCATAGAAGGTAAATAAATCCCAGAATAAAAAAAAGAAAAAAAGGAGAGGTTGGGAGCTTCAGTCACCCGCCAGCCTGAAAACAGCCCTCAGCCCCTCACCCAGACTGGCCAGGCACCCCAGTGGGGACCCCCACCCTGAAGTGGGTGTGACCAGCTGCAAACAGCCATCAGCCCCTCACCCAGGCTGGCTGGGCACCACATCGGGACCCCCACCCTGATCCAGGACACCATTCAGGGCAAACCAGCCGGCCCCCACCCGTGCACCAGGCCTCTGTCCTATATAGTAAAAGGGTAATACACCTCCTGGCACCGGGATCAGCGGAGCCGCGAGACCTCCCAGCCTGGGATCAGCAGAGCCGCGAGACCTCCCAGCACCGGGATCAGTGGAGCAGTGAGGCCTCCCAGCACTGGGATCAGTGGAGCAGCAAGGCCTCCTAGCACCAGGATCAGCTGAGCAGCAAGGCCTCATTGCCCCGGTGTCAAGCAGAGCCGCGAGGCCTCCCAGCACTGGGATCAGTGGAGCCACGAGGCCTCCTGGCCCCTGGATCAGCGTGACAGGGGGCAGCGCCCAAACCCCCTGATCGCCCTGCAGCTCTTTGTATGACAGGGGGTGGGGCCACAACCTCCCTATCCGCCCTGCTCTGTTCGTGACAGGGGAAGGTGCCCCAACCCCCTGATCGGCCCTGCTCTGTGCCTGATAGGGGGGAGCTCCCCAACCCCCTGATCAGCCCTGCTCTGTGTGTGACAGGGTGCGGTGCCCTAACCCCCCCATGGGCCCTGCTCTGTGTGTGACAGGGGGCGGTGCCCCAACTCCCCTATCGGCCCTACTCTGTGCATGACAGGGGGGAGCTCCCCAACCCCCTGATCGGCCCTACTCTGTGCGTGACAGGGGGGAGCTCCCCACCCCCTGATCGGCCCTGCTCTGTGTGTGACAGGGGGCGGTGCCCCAACCCCCCTGATCGGCCCTGCTCTGTGTGTGACAGGGGGCGGTGCCCCAACCCCCCTGATGGGCCCTGCTCTGTGCATGACAGGGGGCAGCGCCCCAACCCCCTTATCAGCCGGCTCTGTATGTGACAGGGGTGGCACTACAACCCCCTGATCCGCCCTGCTCTGTGCATGACAGGGGGTGGTGCCACAACCTCCCCATCGACCCTGCCTTGAGTGTGACAGTGGGCGGCGCCCCAACCCCCTAATCGGCCCTACCCTGAGTGTGACTGGGGGTGACATCGCAACCTCCTGATCTGCCCTGCTCTGTGCATGACAGGGGGCAGCGCCCCAACTCCCCAATTGGCCCTGCTCTGAGCCTGACCAGGGGCTGCGGGGCAGGCACCTAGGGATTGGGCCTGCCCTCTGCCACCTGGGAGCAGGCCTAAGCCAGCAGGTCGTTATCTCCTGAGGGGTCCCAGACTGTGAGAGGGCACAAGTGGGGCTGAGGGTCACACACCCCCCCTCCCCCCCGCCAGTGCACAAATTTTTGTGCACCGGGCCTCTAGTACTAATAAATAATAATACAGTGATTAATAAATAATAACACACATGTGGTTTTAGCAATTCACAATGAATAATGGCTGTAAAACTCCTTAAAGTATGTAAGGAATTATAATTCCAGGTAAAATCACCATGAGCTTTTTTGGCCTTTGTTTCTCTGCATCACTTCCCTGATCCTCATGTGGTCAGTCACTGCAGCTCCATTCAGAAAGCTGTGCTTTCCCTGACAACCCAATCCAGAAGCTTGTTCTGCCATCAGTAAACTTAGGTTAAATAAATACAAATTCATTTTCACAATTTATCTAACCTTAAATTATAAATTTTAAAAACCCCACAGGATTTCGTGCTGTTGGTGCCAAGTGTAAGTACTCATCAGCCTAGATCCCAAAGAAGTTTTTCTCTGCTGTGTTCTCAAAGTTCTATAGTTTTATGTTTTACATTTAAGTCCATAATCTATTTGGGGTTAATTTTTTGTATAAGGTAGAGATTTAGATCGAGGTTGACTTTCTTTCTTTTAATTGTTGCCCTATAGATGTTCAATTATTCTAGCACTAGAGGCCTGGTGCATGAAATTTGTGCATGGGTGGGGTCCCTAGGCGTGGCTGGCAATCAGGGCTGATTGGAGCCTGGCTGATTGAGGCCTGCAGGCCTGGGGGAGGGAGGAGGGAGGGACTGCGGGAGGTTGGCCAGGTGGCCAGGGGGGAGGGACTGCGGGAGGTTGGCTGTGGGAGCACACTGACCACCAGGGGGCAGTTCCTGCATTGAGTGTCTGTCCCCTGGTGGTCAGTGCGCATCATAGCAACTGGTCAACTGGTCATTCCAGTCGTTCCGGTTGTTTAGTTGTAATGGTCGCGCATATACATATACAT